ATCAGGCGGGAGGCTGGTCTGTGAGTGAATTGCGAAGAAGTCTCAGGCGGGAGCCCTCTCTCTATGGGCCCTGCATTTCATGTTGTTAATCCGAGCGGGTCATCCTCGAACCTGTAACCGTCTTCACTTTTGGGCTCCTGAGGCTTGAATATGGGGGAAGTATCAGGCGGGAGGCTGGTCTGTTGGTGAATTGCGAGGAAGTATCAGGCGGGAGCCCTCTCCCGATGGGGCCCGCACTTCATGTTTTTAATCCGAGCGGGTCATCCTCGAACCTGTAATTGTCGTGTCTTTTTGGTTTTTGATGCCTGAGTATGAAGGAAGTATCAGGCGGGAGCTTCGTCTGTGAGTTATTGGTGAGGAAGTCTCAGGCGGGAGCCCCTTCCCTACGGGGCCCGCACGGCAGTCAAGGTTATTTCCAGATTCGCCGAAAGGATTTTCCGTCGGAGTAATTTGCCGGTTCTGTCGCCATTTGTTTTGCCGTTTCCGGTTGCGGTTTTGTTGCTGCTTCCGTTTTCCAGAGAGATTGTATCGAAAATTGTGAAAAACGGCCTTGCCGCTTCTGGGGCCCAGTGAGGAGGCGGAGGGATGCATCGACCCTGGATCGCCCATCCGTCGCCGTGTTATTCGTCGTCGTCGTCCGCAGCCGTGGCGGCTTCGGTGGGGGCGCGTCGACCCCGAGTCGCCCATTCGTCGCCGTGTTCGTCGTCGTCAGCGTCCGCAGCCGTGGCGGCAGCGGGTCGAGCAGTGGCGATAGAATGCTCTAAGATGTTTGCTGTGGGTCGCACGACATGTTCTGAGAGCATGTATGGCTGGGCCGGTCTTGTTTGCACCCATCGGGCTTATGTTATGATGTATAATAAAAGGTTGTCGCTTTTAGAACACTTGTGGGTTCTAAGAACATGTCGTGGTGGGCCGGAATGCCGGGACGGCTGGTCCCTGCTCAAGCGGGGGGGGATGCATCGCCCCCCATTCGCCCACCTTCAGCCACGCGCAGAAGGGGGGTGGGGGGAGGGGGGAGGGCCTCTCAGAAACACCCCTGCCTCTTAGAAGGCGCGGGCCTTGTCTGTACATGCAAGCCCGGCGCCTTCTAAGAAGCAGCCTCCTAAGAAGCCCTCCCCCCTCCCGGGGCCCCTCCCCTCACCCCCCTGTGCGCGCCGCCAACACCTATCACCGTCGCCGTAGCCGTCGTCGTTGTCGTCGTCGTCCGCAGGCGTGGCGGCCGCGCCTCGGGCCCCCTGGGCGGACTCTGCCTGCGGAGGCCCTCCCCAAGAGGCTCTCTGGCGCCTCCTCCTTCTCCTCCTCCTCCTCCTCCTCCTCCTCCTCCTCCTCTGGCGCCTCCTTCTCCTCCTCCTCCTCCTCCTCTGGCGCCTCCTTCTCGGAGGTCCTTCCGCCTTGGCTCCTTCAGTCAAGGGATGACAAGCCGCCCGGACCTGATAAGTCACGGTCTCTAAGTTGCTCTGGGCGATTATTAGACAGCCCTGCCCCGTTCGATTCCTTCTGTGGGTGCGTTTGCTAAACGGCCTCGCGTGCCAGGGTGATTCTTATAGGGGGGTAGATTTTCTGTTCTCTCTCTCTCCCTCTCTCTCTCTCTCTCTCTCTCTCTCCAGGGGCAACGAAATGGGGGGGAGGGGTATCGTCCACTGATCGCCGATACGCGGCCCGATAGACCACCCTGTCCACGAGCGCGGGGATTCGCTATCGGGGACGGACCCCTCTGATCGCGAATCGCCACGGGGGGGAGGCATCGATCCCCCCATCGCCCACTGATCGCCGACGGGGGGCCCGAAGCCACCCCCCCCCCGCCCAGAAGCGTGGGGCTTCGCCGTCGGAGGCCTGTCCCCGATCTACAGTGGGGACCCATGCCAAGGAACACCCTGCTTGCCTCCAGGATGCCCTGGGTGTCTTGGGTCTCGACGGTTTTGCCGTGCAAGGCGTGGCGTGTCTCAGGGTTGGACTTGTTGTGGAAGGTTTCTTGTGTACTGGCTTCCACTGCATCGGCGTTGCATCGCCGATTCCAGGTCGATGTTTGCCCCCCCTGTGCCACAGTCCCCCCCCCCCATCGTTGCCCCTCAGGGTGGGGGACCGTGCGGATGTCCGCCCCGAGGTCGTTTCTGGTGCGTTCGGGGGCGTCGCAGGCCCCGAGATGGCCGCGTCGTGAAGAAGTCCGGACGGGAGGTTGTTGGCAGTTTGGGGCCTCTGAGGGCCCTCACTGGGCCGTCTGAAGAGGATTCAGGATGAAGAACGGGACCCGGGGAAAGGGTAGGGACCTCGTCATGGAAAGGGCACGGCATCGCATGTCTGATCTGGGGGTGTGACACCATGGCCGGGGCCATGACATCTCCCCGAATGTATGTCGGCGGCGAGCGCGGGGCGGAAGTGAGACGGGGCGGGCCTTCTCAGAAGGCTCGGAAGTCCCCCGGCCTTCTGAGAAGTGTTCCAAGCCTCCCCCGAAGACGCAGAAGACTTCTCAGCAGGCACGAGGGCTTCTGAGAGGTCCCGCCGCCGTCCGAGAAGGCCTTTTCCTTCTCACTTCCCGCCTCGCTCGCCGCCGAGTATGGCCCCCTTTTCGTTCCCGGGCTCTTCGGTCCATGATGTGCCAACTCCCTCTCCCTAGCCCCCGTCTCCGACGCACCCGCTTTCAGAGCGGCTGCACTCGAGAGGTCAGCTTGCGCGCGCCGCCTGGCGCCCCCCCTCCGTTACGTTGCACCTCTTTGGGGACCTCGCCGGTCCCTCAAGTTGGTGTCTTTTCGTGTGCCCGACGCGGGCTCGATGCGGACTCGGCGCGGATTTGGCGTGGGTTCGACGCGGATTCGACACGGATTCAACACCACGGATCCGACGAGCTCGGCAAGGACTCGGCACGGATTCGACGCGGGTGAGGCCGCGACGGGAGAGACAAGATCCCCCGAGGATCCAACATATCATCCGCCCGCCATTTTTGTTTGGCAACATGAGTGCCCGTTGCTGGCGTTGGGGCCTGGCTGCCTACCTCTGGCGGGGCGGTTAGGCAATACCCGAAAGGGCCCCTGCCGACCAAGCAACAACGCGGTAGCTCGCCCCGGTCCACCCTGGAGAGCACCCCTTTCTCACTCTGAGCCTCCCAGACGGGGTCGGAGTAGATGGGGTCGGAGGATCGCGGCGCATCGCCGATGCATCGACGATGCGGCTCGATGTGGAGGCCGTGTTTCCCCACGCAGACGTCGCCTTCGCGTGCGCTGCCGTCGTCGTGTGTTCGTTCCCTCGCCTCGAGTTGCCGCGCTTCAGTTAACTTTAAGTTGAGTCGTATCCTCGTTTTGTGGCCGCTGCATGTTTCGTTTGGACTTACAGTTCCTCTAACCCACCCATCGTTTGCATGTTACAGTGTGAGACACTTGTACGCTGCGCTATCGGCAATGCTCGCTCGCAATTAGCACTTTCATGTGCTGCCCCCGCTTGGGGACCGCCTACGCCGCGGGCTTTGAGTGTGTTCGTTCCCTCTCTCCGCTTCCGTCAGTACAAGCTGCTGGGAGCCGGCTTTGCTGGGGTTCCGTCCAGTTGGGCGTCGCGTCGGAGGAGGGGCGATGATTTGGGGAGCAAGGCTGCAGAACGGGATCCATGAGTGTTCGCTACCTGCACGTCATCTACGCAGGATCCATGCGACGGTACAGCCCGAACCGCTATAGTGTCCTTTGTGAAAACATGGAAAGCACGGGAAACAAAAGCACACAGGGAAAAGAGCACACAATGAACAAACACACACACACACACTCACATGCACACGCACACACGCACGCACGCACGCACGCACGCACGCACGCACGCACGCAC